GGAAGAAGGAATGGTACCAACCAAGGGTCCAGCCCCCCTGGGTCTCCCAGGAAATGCTGGAGGTGGCATCGTGCCCTGCTGGAACAGAGGTGGTAAGAGCCATCCTCACCGCTAGTGGCTCATGGGGAAGAGGGACAGCCACAGTCGGTGGCCTTTCAATTACTCCCTAGCTGTCGGCATCCTCTCAAGCTGGACAGCAAGAGGGCAGGTCATCCAAAACATTTGAAATATTGTCTGATCTAGCTGACCTTCCTGTCACGTCTTGTCCCAAGAGTCCTTTTGTTGGTATTTATTCCTTTAGGAGAGGTGATTCATCGGCCTGACTTGGGTTTCTGTTGAAGAATCCACAACCTTCCCGTCGGTAACGTCTGCCTTTTAACTACCTGACCTCAGCCCACAGATTCCGAGGGGCAGAATGTTCTGCGGGACGGGGCCCCGAGGCCCTCCAGCTCATGGGTGGCAGTTATACGGCCCCTGGTCTGCCACCCCCTCCACCCCGAGTGCAGGGCAGACACCGCCAGGCAATCTGAGCGCTGGATGTGGCCTCGCCATCCTGAGCAACGTGCACCCCCAGCCACTTGTCCCACTAACCAGCATTGGCATGCAGTCTGGACCGGCTGCTTTCCTGGAACAAGTCCAATCCCCTCATTCTAGAGAGGAAGAAACTTGAGGCCGGGGAGTGTCACTTACAAAAAAGTCGCAAGGTGAATTAGCGAAGTGTTGGGACTCGAGGTGTCTGGTCCTCGGGCTGGGAGAGCTCTGAGCCGGGACAGCTCAGAGAAGGCTTACTGCTGCCAGCCTCCATGGGCAACTCTCAGAGGCCGACAGGTGCCGGAGCTGAGCTCCTTCCCCTTCCTTCTCCAGTCTGGCCGGCTTCCGTCCCCAGCCCCTGTCTCTCGGGCCAGCAGGAAAGCCATCCTAGGGGCCAGCTGGAGTGGCACCCGGATGCAGGAGGCAGCCGTGACAGCCCCTGACTCATGCCCAGTGCAGTAGCGCCATGGCTCCCCCTCCTGGGCCGGGCAATAGCACGCTGCCGGATTGCATGGCACAGGCCGGAATTTAGAGCAATGAACCCTTTCTGCTCAGTCTTTGGCAACTTCGACCCAATGTCTTATTCGCTCTTCAGGGAATACGTGGAATACTCCCTAAGACAGCTAGGGAGTGATTGAAAGACCACCGACTGGGGGGGACAAAGGACTTGTGTGATGCTCAGGAAAGACCTTGGAGCTTTGAGGGCCCTGATGGGGGATGAAACCACCTCCGCTCTATGGGGGCTGTGCTGTGTGGATCTGGATGGAGGAAAAGGGCAGGCAGACCCAGAAGGACAGGCTGGGCATACCTCCGTCCCAACTGCTTGCGAGCTGAGTTCCAGCCAGCAGGCCCTCAGGGTCGGGGGCTGATGCTGATGCCCCATGGCCATCTTTGGAGAAGGAACGGAGGAACCGGATTCTGCCCAGGGAGCCGCCACCTCTGGCGATCACACAGGGGAAGATCAGACAAGAGCGTTTACTTTCCTCTTGGCCCTATCGGTGTGCTGGAGGTTCCACCCAGGAGGACAAGCAAACTGAGGGACTCAGAGCCTTTGCTGGTGGCATGACGGCGCCTGGGCCCCCGGTGATAGCCGGCTTATCCACACAGCCCGGGGCCTAGAGCCCATTTGGCAATTCCGCCCTGATCTTCCTGCCTCAGTCTGCAGCAGCCCCTTGCTGGTAACTCACAAGAGAAGTATGCGACGAGGTCATGTGGGTGATGTGTGGCCTAGATGTGCCCTGGTGGGCAGTGGGATGTCGAGGTATGCAAGGAAGACTGGAGGTAGACAAGTGGCCATTTTTTAAAAACTTTATTTATTTTTTTAATTTTATTATGTTGGTCACCATACAGTACATCATTAGTTTTTGACGTAGTGCTTCATGATTCATTGTTTTCGTATAACACCCAGTGCTCCACGCAGAATGTGCCCTCTTTAAGCCCCATCACGGGGCTAACCCATCCCCCCACCCCCCTCCCCTCTAGAACCCTGTCTGTTTCTCAGAGTCCAGAGTCTCTCGTGGTTCATCTCTCCCTCCGATTCCCCCCTTCATTTTTCCCTTCCTTCTCCTAATGTCCTCCGTGCTATTCCTCATGTTCCACAAATAAGTGAAACCGTATGATAATTGGCTTTCTCTGCTTAACTTATTTCACTCAGCATAAGCTCCTCCAGTCCCATCCATGCTGATGTAGAAGTTGGGTATTCCTCCTTTCTGACGGCTGAGTCATATTCCCTTGTATATACGGACCGCATCTTTATCCATTCGTCTGTTGAAGGGCATCTCGGCTCTTTCCACAGCTTGGCTGTTGCGGACATTGCTGCTATCAACATTGGGGTGCATATGGCCCTTCTTTTCACTACATCTGTGTCTTTGGGGTAAATACATCATCATTAGCCACCAGGGAAAAGTGGCCATTTATGGAATTTGGTTACCCTGGGCTTTTGCAAATTGTGCTTCCCTTGTTTGGAATGTTCTTCTCCCGGCCCTTTGCATGGCTGGCTCCTTCTCCCCGTTCCAACTGTCATCTCTACTCTCCCCTCCTCAGTGAGGCCTTCCGTGGCCACTCCAGTCTCCCAGGCCCAGAGCCTGACTCATTCAAGGGGCCCCACAAATGCTGGATACATTCTCCCATGTGCTTTCCACGGACGCCCTACGAGGTCGAGATTGTCCCCAATTTACAAAGGGGGAAACTGAGGCTTGGAGGAGTCCAGTACTCCCTTGAGGAGACACGCCTAGTAGTGAGTAGTAGAGCCGTGATTTGAACCCAGGTCTGCCTGACTGCGAATTCCATGCTCTTGACTGCTCTTCTGTCAATTAGTGCTGGGCGTGGGGGTCAGGACCCGATGCAGGGGAGTGACAGGAGGGGAGGAAGGGAGACGGAGGGCATAATTATTAGATATGTTAGAGACTCTTCTTCTCGGTGAACACTTCCTTTTTAGCGGGAGAGCAGGCAGGCAGGGGCAGAGAATCTCAAGCCGACTCCGCACTGAGCATGGAGCCCGAAGCAGGGCTCGATCTCACGACCCTCAGGTCATGACCTGAGCCCAAATCAAGAGTCGGAAGCTTAACCTACTGAGCCCCCCAGGCGCCCTGGCATACTGATTATTTTAAACAGAAGTTACTTAAGAGACACTCTGGCAAGAAGGGCACGTATACCCTCCTCTGTTCCCGTGAAAGCAGAAAATCAATCTCCCCTGTGAAAGGTACCCGCCCTGTACTAGGAGCTAAAGAGATCCTTATCACCAGAGATGGGAAATTTAGATCCAAGAAGACTGTGTAAATGACCCTTGTTACTTTTTACTAATTTACCCCAGCCCCAAATCTGTTTAGAATTCTTAATCGAAGCTCCCAAAGTTAAGTTTTCTTTGTCCTGTCAATTCCTCACAGATTTATTGTCTCTCTGTCTAAAAAAGTAGAAAAACTCCCTGCCTTGGCCATTTCTTTGGATCTCGATTTCATTGTTTGGCCTCTGTGTGCATGTAATAAATCTTTCGGTTTTTGTTTTCTCCTGTTGGTCTGTCTCCTGTAAACTGAATTCTTAGTCCAGCTAGAAGACCTTGAGGGTGGAGAAGAACTTTTCCTTCCCTTCTGTTGCCTTGGGTGGAAAGTTAGGAAGGCTTCCTGGTAGAGGTGGCAACTGCCCTGAGTCTCAACAGGTGAGAGGATTTTGCTGAGGGGGCGTGGGGAACAGAGAATGCCAGTCAAAGAGGGCAGCCTTGGCATCCCAGTGAGTCCAAGGGACGGTCAGTAGCCGAGCAAGGTGGAATTGCCAAGGTCATAGGCCCAAGGGACACATTATATTAGAATGGGCAGCAACAAGCAACACCCCACTTAAAAATAATGTTTCTTTCTTGGACTTGCTGTGTGTCCATCACAGGTCATGTGGGGCTGTGACTGGAGAGGTTGCCCCTCGGGGACGCAGACCGACGGAGACTTCGCCATCCGCCAGCGCAGCCGGGTGCCGTGGTGGGGGTGGGGCCCGCGCGAGCTCGCACACTGGCCGGCACAGCCCTTGCCCGGAGTGCCACGCGCCACTACTGCTCGAATTTCACTGGTCTGAACGAGTCACGGGGCCACGCTGAACTTCAAGGGACCGTGGAAATGTAATCCAGCATGCGTTTAGAACGAAGACTAGAAAAATCCGGGAGGACGGCCCTAACGATACACAAGGGATAACTCGGGAAAGGAGAGCGAAGACCAGGTCACGCCCACGGGTGGGCCTTGAATGCCACGTTCAGGAGTGTGGAACTCGTCCAGCGTGATGGGGAGCGCCGAGTAAGTGAGTGAGATGTCAGCCCGTGGAGAACGGAGGAGGCCGGCCCAGGAGAAGGCCGCAAGAGAAGAAGGAGGTTAAGAGGAAGGGAGGGGGGCGCCTGGGTGGCTCAGTTGGTTAAGCGACTCCCTTCGGCTCAGGTCATGATCCTGGAGTCCCGGGATCGAGTCCCGCATCGGGCTCCCTGCTCAGCGGGGAGCCTGCTTCTCCCTCTGACCCACTTCCCTCTCTTGCTCTCTATCTCTCATTCTCTCTCTCTCAAATAAATAAATAAAATCTTTTAAAAAAAAGGGGAAGGGAGGGCGTAAGACAGAGCAGGGGGGCTGGGGAGGTGGGTGGGGGAGTGTGTGCGCAGGTCGTGGGAGAGGGGAGAGGGGGAGGGGCGACGGAGAAGAGGGAGAGAGCACAGACGTCCCGGGGGGCTGTTGGCCCTGGAAAATCAAGACTTCCATGAAGTGGAAGGACCCGCCTCAAATCTGAAAGGTTTTCGCCAAAACGAGGGACTAGACTTATTCTCACAGTGGAACAGGACCAAGTTTCAACTGTGAGAAGACAGATTTAACTTGAATTTTGTAACACCTTCTGTTATCAACTTCTCCTTGTTCCTTGAACTATTTGCCAAGCACTTTGCACAGAAAGGAGCTTGTGTGTAATATGTGGAAATGTTAATTTCCTTCCTGTTCTCATAGCAGCAGGAGAGAAGGAATGGCAGCTTTGCCGTGGTGCAGAACCACCCTGCAGAAAACTCCTGCGCCAGCCCGGGTTTGGGGGGCGAAGTTACATGAGGGCGCCCGCCGGTGGGCAGGTGGGTACAGAAGCAGGTGCCAGGTTGGAAAGGAGGGGGAGGCCCTCTCTGGGGGACACAGGGGCTGGCGGCTTCCATGCAGGGCCGAGGCTGCTTCTCTTCCCACTCAGCTCTGCAGGGAGGGGCGGTGATCAGAGGTAGGTGGGTGCTGAGCACGTGGCCTTCAGAGGAGCTGGTAGGAACCCCGAGGGCTGGCCCTGGGAGCGGCAGCTGTGTGATTTGCCCAGAGACAGAGAGCATTGGCATGTCACCATCCGTAGCTGGGGGGGAGCTCCGGCTGTATGGGTGACCCCCGTGTTGTCTGGACCCCACCCCCATTTGTTCCTGACCCCACAACAGTCTGCAGATCTCACTGGATTCTGTGGCCAGGAAGGGAGGGAAGACGGCACTTGAGTTAGGGTAATGAAAGGATGTAACATTGCTTACAAAGGAGAGGGAGCAGAGCTGAAGAACGCAGCGCTGGAGGCCAGATGGACTCACTGTGTGAACTTGGATGAGTTATTTCCACTCTCTGTGCCTCCTGTTCACCATCTTTATATTTTTTTATTATTTATTTATTTATTTTTACGTAGGCGCGAACTCCGGACCCTGAGATCAAGAGTCCCTTGCTCTACCGAGCCAGGTGCGCATCGCCACCTTTAAAGTGGGAACAATAACAGAGCCTCATGTGTTAATATGTGTAGGGTGCTTCGATTCTTGGTAGGTGCTATGTGAATATTACATGAAGTTGATCATGTATTCTGGACTTAGATTCATACCCGTTAGACTGCTGTATGTGGGAAGCCTGTCCGGGGTTTAGGGGTTAAGAGGGAGCTGTGTCTTAGTGCAATGTCATGACTGAGGGGCCATCTGGTTCCATCTCTGGCTTTACAGATGAGGACTCAAGGCCCAGAGAACAACTCGGCCAAGGTCACCCGGGACCAAGACCACTGAGTGACAAAACCGACTGGAGCTCTGAGGCCTGGTGAAGCCCACATCTGAGGCCCGAGTCGGCCTCTCCCTAGCTGTGTGATGTTAGCTCTGGGGGGCTGTCCAGCCTGGGATGAACGGGTTGCGTGGTGGGCCTCAAGCCTGAAGCTGCCTGACCTCCCCCTGGTGGGGTCTGCCTGGGGCCTGCGGCCTACAGGAGAGGCTGTCCTTCCATTCTGACACCAGCTGGCCCTCGGGCCTGGGAAACTGTGTTTGACTGGGCGCCTTATCATGGCCCATCCCAAGGCCGGTGTGGATGGAAGCGTGGGGAAGCTGTGGTGGGACACCAAGGCTTAAAGTTCCTGGGGGCCCAAGCTGGAGACCGAGCCGGCCTGTCTTGCTGAGCGTTTCATCAGCAATCACACCATGCCCTCCCTCTTGCTCTTAAAAACCTGGTGTGTGCGTGCATGCGTGCGTGCGTGCGTGCGTGTATGAGAGAGTGGGTGAGTGTGTGTATGAATGTGCGCACGCGCGTGTGTCTGTGTGACTGTGTGGGGGGCGTGGGGGGATTTAAATGCTGAGGTGATGCACACTCTTGTTCCAGCTGAGGGCTCCTCCCTAGGTCACCAGAATGGGCTCACTCTAGAGATTTAGAAGAGGCTCTGTGCCTTGGTGGGATTCTTGAGCTGACACTGGTGAGAGCAGAGGGGGTACAGGACACGTCGGCATTATCTGAGGTTGCATTTTCCCTGGCTTTGGTGTGCTTTTGTTTCTAGCAGCACCTGTGACCTGTCTTTGGAGGATCTCCTACCATGGCCCAGTGGCCCCAGGATGGCTCTCAGACAAGCTTGTGGCCGTGGGAGAGCCCAGCTCCCCTGCCTTGGGTTGGGCATTTTGGAGGCCAGACTTGCCTTCCAGGGTTCGCTGTGGGAGCAGGCTGGAGCTTCCGTCTGCAGGACTTGTGCAGAATCACACCCAGGCTTGGCTTGGTCCCATCCCGGTCCTGCTTCCCCTGCCCCTCACTGGCTTCTCTGAGAGCAACTTTGAAATAAATTTCTTTGACATGAAACCTCATGTTTTGGGCTATTTCTGGGGAGACTGACCTAAGAAGACCTAAGGTGGTCCTCTGCTTCTTTTTCAGGCAACTGACAGACCGAGACCTCGACCCGTTTAAGTTTCTCTCCTATATTTTCCTAGAGCACGCTGAAGTTTTCTCTGCCATGTGGCCTTGCCCATGCTTGATTTTCTGAAACCCCTGCTAGACCACAAGTTCTGGAGGGCAGGAATCTCACTTAACTCATTCCTAAGTCCATGGAAGGACACTTGGTTTCTAAAAGATTTTATTTATTTATTTGAGAAAGAGAGAGAGAGAGAGAGAGAGAGAGAGAGCAAACTAGTGGGGAGAGGAACTGAGGGAGAGGGAGAGGAAGAGAGAATCTGAAGCAGACTCCATGTTCAGCATGGGTCTGATCTCTGATCAGGGCTTGATCTCACATCCAAGAGATCATGACCTGAGCCGAAACCCAGAGTTAGAAGCTTAGCCAACTGAGCCACCCAGGCGCCCCAGGAGATACGGTTTTTATTCTCCACATTCTAATTGTCAAAACAAGGCTAACATGGGGCACCTGGCTGGCTCAGTCATTAAGCATCTGCCTTCAGCTCAGGTCATGATCCCCAGGGTCCTGGGATCGAGTCCCGCATTGGGCTCCCTGCTCCGCGGGAAGCCTGCTTCTCCCTCTCCCACTCCCCCTGCTTGTGTTCCTGCTCTCACTCTCTCTCTCTGTCAAATTAAAAAAAAAAATCTTAAAAAACAAAACAAAACAAGGCTAACACATGGGTTGGGTATTAGGTTATAGGCTCACCTTCTGTAACCAAAGCCTAAATAACCGAGCCTTAAATAAAATACAATTTCATTTCTCTCTCATGTAATACTCCAGGTGGCTCCCTTGTGATGGGGACCCAAATTCTTTCTTGCTGCTTTGATATCTTCAATGTGTGATATTGTCTCTTGGTCTAGTATGGCTGCTCCAGCTCCTGTCATTGCATCTGCATTCCAGCCAGTAGGAAGTAGAAAAGGAGAAGCAGAATATACCCCATTTCTTAAAGGACATAGCCAAAAGTTGTAAATATTATTTCCACTCATATCTCATTGGCTCTAATGAAGTCACAGGAATACTTTTAGGTGAAAGAGAGGCTAGGAAATAGACTCTTTAGCTGGGTGGCCCTAGACTAGGGGTTTGCTTACTAAAGGAAGAAGGAGACAATTAACATCCCGTTATGCTCTCCTAGTTCAGGGCAGATAAGCTGTTACACTGCGAAGACATACAACCCCCAGATCTTAGTGGGTCAACACAACTAGGACTTACGGCTCACTGAATCTGACATGGCTTAGCAGGGGGCCCCACTCATCACAGTCACGCAGGGAGAAAAGCTGATGGATGTGCCCTCTTGATGCAAAGGAACGGGATGGGTGGCAAATTGGACTCTGGTTTGTGAAGGCTTCTACCTGCAAGTGACATATAGTAACCTCTGTGCACATTGCAGTGGCCAAAGTAAATTCCATAGTCGTGGCAAATCTGGGGCAGGGGCTGGAGGGGGGTAGGGAAGTGTGATCCAGCTAGAATATTTATGACAAGCAATAATGGTCTCCACCTTCATTCACGTGCCTGTACTTTACTTTCCTTTGCTTCTCCCCACCCTGCCCCTCAGCCTCTTTCAGCCAGTAGATTCAGATTTGGATGAGATTATATGAGAGGATATACACTAAGCTGTTAATAAGTAGGGAAACCCTGGGCAAAAAATGAAAAGAAAAAAAATCCAAAAGCTATACTTTAAGAAAGCATATATGTTTATAATAACAATTTTGCATTGATAGGAGAGAGAGAGAGAGAGAGAGAGAGAGAGAGAGTGTGTGTGTGTGTGTGTGTGGTTTCTGTATAAATTTAATAAAATAATAAAAAAAAGAAATTTGTAAAATATAAACTCACTTACCAAACCAAGCAGATAATAATAAAGCAGTACCATATTAACCATAACCATATCAGGTTTGGACATGTTTGGATACACATTACAAAAAACCTAAAGTAATTGTAACAAGATAAAACTTGATTTTTTCCCCCTCCCACTTAAACCGGTCTGGGCGTAGGCCATCCAGAGCTTGAATGGTTTCCACTTTCTAGGTCACCTCATGGTCCAATACAGCTGCAGAAGTTCCAGCCATCACATCTGAAATTGAAGCAGTAGTTAAGAACGTGGGGAAGGCAAAAGGACTCACCTCCCAGCTGACTCAGCTCCTTTAAAGCAGCTTGAACTCATGACCCTGAGATCAAGCGTGGCTTACACAAGGTAGTTTATTTCCCTCTCCTGTGAAAGTCCAGAGGCAAGCATCCAGCAGTGTCACGATGCTCCATGGTGCCAGGGCTCAGGCTCCTTCTGTTTTGTTGTGCTTCCAGGTATGGCCTCCATTCCATGGTCAAATCACAGTTCAAGATGACTACTTTCCCTCCAAGCATCATGTGCCCATTTCACCTGCCAACACAGTACCAGTGAATGAAAGGATTGCTGCATATAAACTCAAGTTAATCCATCAGTAGTATTTTCTATTTTTTTTTTAAGAGAGAGAGAGTACATGCATGCGCACGTGAGTGAAGGGGGGAGGGGCAGAGGGAGAGGGGAGAGAATCCCAAGCTCAGCGTGGAGCGGGTTGCTGGGCTTGATCTCAGAACCTGAGTCGAAATCAAGAGTCGGATCTTCAATTGTCTGAGCCACCCAGGCGCCCTGTGTATTCTAATTTTTTTAACCACCAAAGTAATATATGCACAAGATTAAAAATTATATAGCACAAAAGGTTTATGAGACAAAGTGAAGGTCATCCGCCCTGGTCTGCCTGACCCCTCAATAACAGTTTCACCCCAGTTTCGGACAGCTGTTGTCAACAGGAGCCACTCTGACATTATGTTCAAAGTGAGATGTTTGCAAAAACCAACCATGATATCCCTCAAATAAGTCAGTAGCTGAGATTGCCTTCCTCATGATCCCTTCTGCGCTCTAGGGGTGATCACTGAGTGAAGTGTGATCATCTGGCCCAAGTGTGGTTGACCCATAAGCCACCTGGCAGCTGGGAGAGGGCAAGAAAGAGGAAGATCTGCCCAACAGGGGCAGTAGTGATCACCATAGCCAATCAGATCCATTCTCTCTAGAATTTGAAATAGAAATTTTGAGACTATCTGCTGAAAGGAATTTTGGTGTCACAAAGGAAAGAGCAGAGTCAAGTAAGGAGGATGAGGCCTTGAATATACTGCTGTGCCTGGTGCTACCACCCGCCTTGGACTTTACGGTTTGAGTTGGATTTCTGTCACTAGCAACGATGGTCTTAATTCAGCACCTAAGAAGATTGCGAGTTTTGGGTGGTACGGTTTCCTTGGTCTAAGAAGCTCTCCTCCTGGGACCCCACTTTTACAAAGCTGCTATCATGGACCCTGCTGAGAGGCAAAACAGGGACTGGGGTTCGCCTGGTTGTTGAGCACAGGCTGCCCAGGGAAGACAGAGCTGTCTGGCATCAGGACCTTCCTCCCAGGTCATCAGTCTCGTGATTCGGGGCAAGGGAGGATGTATAAGGACATCTCTCAAGCACTACCCACAAAGAATGGACTAAAAGTGCAGTCTAGGGCCTCGAGAAACTACGCAGAGTTGTTTTGAGGAACCCGCCAGCCAGTTCCAAACTGACAGGCACTTCTCTCTGCCAGGGAAGGACACAAGACAGGTCCGTGGTGACTCCCGTCCTGGGGCCAAACGGTGTCACGGCCGTGGGCGTGTGGTCCTTCAGCCTGAGCTCAGACCACCTGGGGCGTTCCCCAGGTGCTAGAATTCCATTCGGTTCTTCTCCATTCGGTCCCTTTCGGGCCGCCTTGAACGGCCTCCCCAAAGCCGAGCCGGATAAAACAAACCGGCCCCTTCCTCGCCCGCCAGGGAACACGCCGGATGTCTGCGCAGGCGCACTCGCCCAGGGCGGTCGAGTCTCCGCCCAATGGGCGGTAACCCTCCCAGGGGTGGGGCGGAGGCCGTTAGCGGGGCGGGGCCGGGCGTCCGCCGCTCGCGGGAGGGTCTTGCGGGGACTCCCATGGGTGTGGCCCGGGGGGGGGCGGTGAAAGGGGGGAGCGGTGTCGTGGTGACTCAGACCCACGGGCCAGACAGCGTGGTGCGGGACGAACGGCGCGGGCCCCGCTTCCAGGCCCGGACGTTGGAGGGGTGTCACATCCGGCGGGAGGGGGCGGGCCTGCGGGCCCCGGAAGTGTGGGCGCGGGCCGTGGTTTAACCCGCGGCGGCGGTGGCGGCAGCGGTGGCGGCGGCCGGGGCAGGTGAGCTGGACCCGGGGAGGGGCGAGGACGGGGAAGGGGGTGGCGCTGGCAATGGCTCCCGGCGCGCCCCCGCCTGTCCGCCTCATTCTGGCAGAGGCCGGTGATTGGGTGCGAGGGGCGCGTGACTGCCGCGGGCGCCTCTGCCCCTCGCCGCGGAAGGGAGGGAGGCCGGCGCCCCTGCCCCTAGCGCCCTCCCCTCCCTTCCCCCTGCAGGTGGCGCCTCCGGCCCCGCCCCACCCTTCACCTCCACCCTCCAACCCCCCGTCCCATATTTGAGCATCTTGCTGGGCACAATTCCAGTGACGTTAGAGCCAGTTTGCCCATTGTACAGATGGGGAAGCAGGCCTAAGAGTGGGAGCCAGAGGTCACACGGGAGGCCGGTGGCAGGGTAGGGTCACAGAGACTCTGGTCTGTGACTCCCTGCCTGTGCCCTTTCCCCAGGACAGTGAAAGAAACGGGCTTTCAGCCTCGGCTCTGTTTTCCTTTTTTCTGTACCCAGACTAGGAGCGCCCAGCATCCTTGACCAAACCCTACTCCTGGACCTGCTGAGTACAAAGGGCATTGGTGTGTGTGTGTGTGTGTGTGTGTGTGTGTGTGTGTGTGTGTATCTGTATATATTTGTATCTCTCTCCAGTGTGTCTGTGTGTGTGTGTGTGTGTGTGTGTGTGTGTATTTGTATCTCTCTCCAGTA